CCGTTTTGCACCTAGCCGCGAATCATACCCGAATCATACCCGAATCATACCCGGACAATGAGCTTCCCCTGGCAAGGCTAGTGCCAAGTCTTTTTCAAAGCGTCCGCACCACTACAGCCGCTGCTGTAATGCCAAGGCCGGAGCCAAGTCTTTTCAAAGCTTCCGCGCCACTACAGTCGCTGCTTCTACTGTTACTACTACTACTACTACTGCTACTACTACTACTACTGCTAGTACTACTACTACTACGACTACTGCTACTACTATTTACTACTACTACTACTACTACTGCTAGTACTACTACTACTACTACGACTACTGCTACTACTATTTACTACTACAACTACTACTACTGCTGCTGCTGCTACTAGTACTACTATTATTACTACTACTACTACTACTACTATTGTTACTACTACACTACTACTACTACTACTACTGCTGCGGCTGCTGCTGCTGCTGCTTCCGCGAATCATACCCCCGAATCATACCCCGAATCATACCCGCGAATCATACCTGCGAATCATACCCCGTACTCAAACCTTCCTGCCCGGCCACCGTAAATAAATACAAACCCAAATATTTGGAATTCCCCAAAAGTCACCCGGCCCTTTGGGAAGAATGTTAAGAATGAATGAGAAGACTGATGTTAAGTAGAACGATTAGCAAACAGGACTTAGTTGTGCACCTGTGGCCTTTGTCAGTCTCCTGACATCGAACCTAGCTGCACGCCTGTGCCTGTGTTTGGCCACGGGCAATATTACTTAGCTGCGTGCTTGCAATTCCTTTGCTGGGCATGAAATTGAAATTGAAACATGCACGCGCGAAGGAACGCACATGTTTGCACCAAGTGTCTCTTTAATAAGCAGTATCCTTGTGCATGGTAAGTGCATATTATCTCTGTAGCACCATGTGGGGATAGAGTTTTGGTGTGCGTGTGGGTGCATGAACATGCAGCATGAAGAGGTGCTCAAATGCAAAAAAACGCGCGGCGACGCATAGGACTCATTCTTCCCTGCCACGGGGGGGGGCTGGAGGGGAAGATTTGAGGAGGGGTTTTGCATTTTTTGCGGAGGAGAAAAAACGCTTAGCTTTATTGGGTATTTTATTTTTGGGGGGGGGGGGCAGGCTTAGCTTTATTTAGGTGGTTTTTATTTCCGAAAGCACGGCGAAGGGTTCTTCCGCTGGAATCACTTGAGTTGTTCTCATGAGAGTCATTGCAAGGTGTCATTGCAAGGAGTCATTATCATGAGAGTCATTGCAAGGAGTCATCATCAGGAAAGTCATTGCAAGGAGTCATTAAAATGAGAGTCATCATTATGAGAGTCATTGCAAAAGCGCAAGTGGCAAGGTCATGAGAGTCATTGCAAGTGCAAGTCGCAAATGCAAGTAGCAAGCGCAAGTTGCACGCGCAAGTTGCAAGTGCAAGTTGCAAGTGCAAGTTGCAAGTGCAAGTTGCAAGTGCGTGCTCACGAGTGCGTGCTCACGAGATTGACTTGCGAGGAGTTCAAATCTCTTCTTAGGGCGGCGGGGGTGGCGAGGACGACGCTGTACGTGGTCGAGGTTTTTGTGTGCCCGCGCGACCCTCTGCGGGGATCGGCGTGGTCGAGGTGCAGAAACTCAAGGTTTGCGTTTTCTACACTGCCCTGCGTGACCCTCTGCGGGGATCGGCGTGGTCGAGTTGCAAAAACTCGAGGTTTTTTTCGCAACTTTTGCTGTTCGAACTGGTTGTTGGGAGTTGTCTCGTGGTTCGCGCGCCTGCTCCCGGGACCGGCGGGTCGCGGGTTCGATTCTCCCCTGGTTTGCGGGGTAACTTTAAGAACGAAAGTAGTACGCGAAGTCCTCTCCCGCAGCTGGAGCTTGAAAATCGCAAGTTTTAAGTGCGAAAGTAGTACGGGAAGTGCACTCCGACAGCTCCGGCTGGAAAATCGCAACTTGCCCAAAGAAACTTGCGCAGGGCACTCGCGGGTAGCGATGTGGAGACTTGCGCAGACCAACTTGCGCAGAGCACTTGCGCAATGACACTTGCGCAGAGAGACTTGCGCAGAGTAACTTGCACAGAACAACTTGCACAGAGCAACTTGCACAGAGACATTTGCAGAGCTTCTTGCACAGAGCTTCTTGCACAGAGCAACTTGCGCAAAGCAACTTGCGCAGAGCAACTTGCACAGAGCAACTTGCACAGAGCAGCTTGCACAGAGCAACTTGCAGGGAGCAACTTGCAGAGAGCAACTTGCGTGGAGCAACTTGCGCGGAGCAACTTGCACAGAGCAACTTGCGCAGAGCGTCGTCGTCGCGCGAGATAGTTGCAAGGAGTTAGCATCATGCGAAGCATCGCAAGGGGTTTGACGCAAGGAGTTCTCATCATGAAAGATGTTGTGCGAACCGCGTTGGCCCAACCTCGCTTGCGATGTTATGCTTTCGGGCCAACCGTGGTCTAGTTGATCTGGGTCAAGCCAGGATGCGCGCGGACCGCTGACATGGACAGTCTTGACTTTTGACGACACGACTGTGACATGTTCTGTTCTGACATCTTCTATCGACTTCTGACACGAGCAATCTCAAACAGTGACCTACGCGAGATTTCGGGATTACAAGCCCACCTCCCCAAGCCCGAACATGGCCGCCAGGCGGCGGACCGCGCTTGTCCGGATTTGGCGGGTCGCGCGTGCGGCTGCGCGCTGCGGCGCGGCTTTTGCCTCCTCCGGCCTGCTTGACCTCGCACAGCGCCGCCGCAGCTGCAGCCGTGGGCTCTGCGGCCGACTTGCGGCAGTCTGGCACGCACAGCCCGTGCGCCATGCACTCGGTCCTGGCAGTCCGGCGGCGTGTGGCTGCTCGCGTGCGAGGTCGTCTTGTCCGCGTCGCTGCTGCTGCTGCTTGGGCTCGGGCTCGGGCTCGGTTTTGCGCGGACCTTCAGGATGGCTTTTCGGGCCACCCTTCGCTTGACGTGCTGCGGGCCGAAACGGCAGCGGAGCACAGTTGCGTGTGTGTATGTATAAACATCCATATACAAATTTGTACGCGCAGCTCATTTTTTGTGTACGCATGCATGTGTACATATATATGTATGTGTAATATCTATCTACATTAACAATCAGAATTTCTATCGATCTTGAACGCGCAGCCAGATGACCTCACTCGGCGCAAACATTATGTGCCACAGCGGCGCGAATATCCTTGAGCGCCTTGACCTGCTTGCCCTGAAGCACTAGGCCACAGCCGCTTGCAGACGGCCTTGCGGCTGGGCCCATATGATCAAGCAGTATTTTTGGCCCGCTTCGCACGTGCGCGCGGCCCCAATACTTTGCCTGTCGCTGCAGAATGCCTCTGCGCTGCTGTCCTTCAAGCTGAAGCCTGGAAAGGGGATTGTTGCGGAGGCTGGGTCGTGCTGGTCGGCGCCTGTTGGAGTGGCCTCATCGCAGAAGCGTGCGCCGGAGCTCCCAGCTCCTTTGCCTTTCTTCTCAAATCTGTCAGATCGTCTTTCACCTCCACAGCTGGCTCTGACCAGCTTCAAGTTCTCGCGCCACCCTCCCTTATCACCTGCGCTCAGGAGGCGGATCTTCTGCGCGTGCACCAAGTCGTCGGGCCCTGCGCCGCCGCGCCGTGGGACGTTTTCGCGGGCCCTTGTCCGACGTGCTTGTTTTGGCGGACGCGTCCAGCTTGGCAGTCGGGCGCATCCTGCGACGTCAAAAAGTCGGACTTGTCGAGGTTGACCTCGTCATCTTTTTCTGGCTCGCCAGCAGCCTCCGCAACTTCTTCATCCGGGTTTGGCGACGCAGGACGAAATGCTGCGCCTGCCCAGTCCTTAGGCCCTGCGTCGCCTCTCTAAACCTCAGTGGCGTGGGTGAGCGCTGTTAGGAGACTGTTGGTGCAGTCCGAGGCATGGTCGCTCAGGGACTTGTGCGTCGCAAGGAACTCCCACACTTGTGGGCTCTGAGCGCGAAACTTGACACACACACACACAGAGCGTATATGGGGAAAAAAGGTGGCGCAGAAGCTGAAGCAGCCATGCTGCAGCCCACTCGGACGTAGGCAGTTCTGTGTTCAAAAACCAGGCCTCACGTTCTGAGCAAAGAAGAAGGCATTCTGTCGCGAACCCCCTGGTCGAAGTGTTGGATCTTGGATCAAAGGTCTGGTTGTGATGAAGAGGTGGTGGTGCTGTGTCTTCAGTGTCTCATATGTGCAACGTTCTACCTGGAAGTATCTCAAACACATTGCACTTTCCTCTACGGACACTGCCGCAGTACCAGCTGCAGGATGGGGCAGAGCCAAGCCAGCTCTGCTCCCAAGATGGCCTTGCTCACCGAGGAGTTCAGATAGCCGCCACACTGCAGCAGCGCAAGCGCGCCGTGCTGCAGAGCGTTCTGCACGAAAGTGTGCAGCGTGGCCACTTGGTCCAACTCTGCCTTTCTTGCGTTGCGAGGCCCGCCGCGATTGCCTGCCCGCATGGACGCCTTCATGACTGCAGAGGGGCCCGGGGTTGCAAGTGCCTTGGGGCACAGGTGCCGGGGCTCGAGCCAAACGCCGCGAATCCCCAACAACGGACGCGCTCGATCATAAAAAAAAGGTTTCATTTCTACACGCAAAAAGGTTTCTACAATCTGTTCAATCGTATAAATTGCTTTCTCCAGATGTCCGCGTGATGGCTCATCCTGGGCCAGACTCGGGAAAGCAAACTCAACCGCGGGAAAGTCCAAATCCAAACGCGCAAAAGAACCCGGGCTTGTCAAAACCAATCGCGACTTCAAGGGACCGCGGGACCAAATTCAATCGCGAAACTGATGTTGAATTTCAACCGCGAGCTCCACCGTCAAAATTCAATCGCTCTTGAAAGCCGCTTTTGGAGATTGATTTTTTGCAATCGCGGATGCTTTGGAGAGTTGCTTGGAAGTCATCCCAACATGCGTGGCAGTGTGGCTGGGGTTGTGGATTCTTGTTCTTCTCACACTCAAGGATCCAGCGAAGCATGTTTGTAAAAGTTGGGATGTGTGAATTGCGAGGTCCCGCCACCACTACGAGTGTCATTGAGCAAATGCAGCTTGGATTTCAAGCGCTGCTGGTCCAGCATGAACGCTGCTTTGTCGACTTGATGATGCCCCCACGCCACCAGGAAAAGCCGGGCCGCGCTTCGACCGCGATTGACTGGTGTCATTGGGCCAGCGCTTGCCGCAAGTGGATATATACTGTGCAGCTTGTTGGGTTGAACAAGTCATGCGCAGAGCTGTTTGATCAGTTTTCACCAAGCCTTTTCATGCCACGTCTTTCCAACTTGACGCAACGATGGCGCCACAGATCAAGCGCCAACGGAGGAAGGCCCATGAAGCTTTCCGTGCCTTGCCAATCCGAGGAAGCAATCTCCGGCCTACCAGGCCAAGGCTGAGAAGGCTCGCGTCGCAAGCATAAAGCAAGTGAGGCTTAGCCAAGGGTCCGCGCGCAAAGTCCCGTTTCGTTTGGCTTTTTCACTAGAAGCAAAAGCGCGCTAGCCGTGTGAAGCTTTTGCCACCCCGGGGGAGCGAGGCTTTGGTAATCCAAATCAAAACTAGGCCTCCAACAATTTGCCCTTGTCAGAGGGCCAAGTAGCCACCAGCGCGTGATAGCTCCCTTTCTGTTGGTATTGCTGCGTGGCGATGTTTTAAGCGCCAGCAACTGCCCATTTATTGGCAACATTCTTGAGCGATTCAGCTTTTTGCCCCTTGGCCGATTGTCGTAGTTTCATGTCTTATTCTCAAGGAACCCTTCTTCACCCCAGCCGATTTGACAAATTTGAATATATGCGCCCTCAGGACAGAAGATATCATGGCCATGCCTGCGTTCGGGCGTGTGTCAACCTGGGGGCGGCTGTTGTCTTGAATGTTTGTCAAACAGACTTTCTCGTTCTTGTAAACGATGCGCGCTGACTGGCTGCCCGCCTTGGCCAGCCGAGCGCACGACGCCGCTGGGCTGAGACTGGTGGTTTGGGGGCTGGCCAGCAAGGTGGCTGGAATGAGAAGGGGCCGGCTGGGAGCTCAAGCTGGCTGCGGTCAAGGCCAAGAAAGAGGCATGCACGCTGGGCAAGTTTGGCTGAGGTTGGGACTTTGGCAACATTTGGGCTGGGAGTGGCTCTGTGGTGGCAACGCTCTCCTTCCTCTCGGTGTTCCTTTTCGTTCCTTTTCTCTTGCTCTCCCCGCGCTCTCTTTGTCATTCTGGCTCCTTGGCTCTATCGCGCGCTTTTCCTTTTTCCTTCTTTTGTGTTTTTCGTTTCGCTTTTTCTCTCTTCCTTCTTTCTCTCTGTTTCTTTGTCTTTTTGTCTCTCTCTACTCTCTCTCCCTACTCTCTCTCTCTCTCTACTCTCTACTCTCTACTCTCTTTCTTTCTCTCTCTCTCTCTCTCTCTGTCTCTCTGTCTCTTTGTCTCTGTCTCTCTGTCTCTCTCTCTCTCTCTCTCTCTCTCTCTCTCTCTCTCTCTCTCTTTTTCTTGTTCTTTTCCTCCTCGCAGCCCGACCATCCATCCAGGTGCCGGAGAAGGAGAGCTCTTCGCTTTTCCTGACCCAGCCGAGCGGTGCCACGGCAGTGTTTAAGCCGTCCGGGAGGGTGGAATACGCGCAGAGGTTCCCTTTTTGTTTTTCCTTCTTGAGAATAACAAGTAGGCCCGCTTCTCCAACTTATGCGAACAAAGGATCAATGTTCCCGAGCTCAAGCACGAACAAACATGTTTTCAAAAGGGCCAGCTGATCCAACGTCCACTGGCCCACGGGAGGTTCAATCTAGGGATCAGGTTTTGTGTGGTGTAAGGGAACTGGCTGTGCCAAAAAGGACTCGGGAACTTTGGGACGCATGGGTCCCAGTTGGCATGTGAAGGTATCCCACTCTGTTTCGCCAGACTGTCGAATGACAATGTGAGCATCTGCTTAAGTTGGGGGCTTCGCGCTGCCCAGCGGCACGTTGAAGCCGGTGCATCCTGGTCAGCGCGGGCGGTTTGCGTAGCCCACTGCTGTTGCAACGCTGGTCGCCCGAAGGCTGCGAGCATGTGCCTGAAAACGTGACCCATGAGCCAAATTACTGTTTCACACTGGAACAGCAACATGGATGGTTCTCGTCATTCGCACGCCCGCGCAGGCCTTATTGTTGCTGTTGTTGTTGTTGCTGTTGATGATGATGATGTTGATTGAGGTTGAGGTTAATATTAATATTGATGTTGATGGTGGTGGTGATGGGCGCGCGCTTCGCGGCCCTGTGTAAATGACGCTTTTTGTTGAGCGACCCTCCGCAGCAGCGCAAACATGTTGGCCAAATGGTAAGCGCACAGCGGTTCCTCCGCGGCAGTGAGTCCCCCGAACATGGTGGCCAGATGACCAGCGCGTCCGCCACAGCGTTCCCGCGCAGCAGTGCAATCATGCTAGCCAAATTGTAACGAGCCCACGAAGCCCGTCGGGCCCGTCAAGGCCGACAAGAGAGGAGGCCAAGCGGTGTCATGTCAACCCGTCACACCCCCCATCCCCAACACAACACAACAGCAATAGCAATTTTTCGGATTAAAGCCTAGAAGAAAGTCTCAAGCTACACGCGTGGAATCTCGCGCGGCTCTGTCCGCCCCACCCCAGAAGCCAAATCCCATAGGCTGCAACACTCTGCCAAAACTCGGAGTCCAATCATTACCAGCGCGGCGCGCCCGATGAACCGTTCCATTTGGGAAAAAGGCGCTCTAAGAGACGCTTTGAACAGGTTCAAACTTGGAAGCCACGGACCCGCGTGCAGATTACTTGCCCGAAGCTGCCGCTGCGCGCGTGCGTCTCTGCCTACCCATTTGCCTGCCCCGGCGGACCGTGTCATGTTTCTGTTTGTCCATTTGCTTGCCTTTTCATCCATGCATCTCTCTGCGCGTGTGAGCTATTTGTTTGTCCATCTACACATCTGTGCCTTACCTCGCTCAATCAAAGCTACTCTGACCTAGCTTAATCTAGTCCGGTTGTCTGTCTGTCTATCTGTTTGTTTGTTCCACTGCAATCTCTCTATCTCTCGGGAATGTAACCCAATCTGTCTATCTATCCATCCATCTATCTGTTTGCCTCTCTCCTATCCGTCTAAATCTCTATCTAACTGTTTATCACTTATCTAAGTGGTTCTATCATTTTCCTATTTTTCTATCGATCTTTCTTTCCGGTGAAGCCCGTCCTGTCAAGCCTGTCAAGCCCGTTGACCTGTTAGGTTGAAAGCCCGTCACACCCGCGAGGCCCGTCCAGCCCGTCAAATCCGTGAAGCCCGCACCCCGTCAAGCCCGTGATGCCGTTGGGCCCGAACGGCGAGCGGCCGTTTTCTGCAGCAGCGCAAACATGTTAGCCAAATGATAAGCGCGCCCGCCACAGTGATTCCCCCGCCGCAGTGCAAACATGTTAGCCAAATGATAAGCGCGCCCGCCACAGTGATTCCCCCGCCGCAGTGCAAACATGTTAGCCAAATGATAAGCGCGCCCGCCACAGTGATTCCCCCGCCGCAGTGCAAACATGTTAGCCAAATGACAAGGGCGCCCGCCACAGTGATTCCCCCGCCGCAGTGCAAACATGTTAGCCGAATGATAAGCGCGCCCGCCGCAGTGAGTGCCCCGCAGCAGTGCAAACATGGTCGCCAAATGATAAGCGCGCCCGCCATAGTGATTCAGCGGCATGGTCGTCGTCGTTCTCGCTGTTGACATCTTGTTTGTTGTTGTTGCTGTTTGGCCGATGTCATAGTCTTTCATTCTGTTTCTGTGTGTGTTTGCCTGTTATGCGCTTGGGAAGTTTTTGTCGCACTTGCGTGCTTGCATGCTTTCGTGCTTAGCGCCTGCGTGTGGCTACTTGTGTGCTTGTGTGTGCTTGCGCGTGCCCGCATGGACCTTTTCCCACAGTATTCGTAATTCACCACCAACAACCTTCGAAACAGGCGTGAAAACCATAGCGTTGTGGCGCTGAAGTTTATTTTCACAGCCTCTTTGTGTATTAGTGTGCGTGTTTTCCCAGGGCCTCGAAAAACGTCGCCTACCCTGTTGTTGTTGCTGCTGCTGCTGTCGGTGTTGTTCTTGCAGTTGTTGTTGTTGTTGTTGTTGTTGTTGTTGTTGTTGTTGCTGTTGCTGTTGCTGTTGCTGTTGCTGTTGCTGTTGCTGTTGCTGTTGCTGTTGCTGTTGCTGTTGTTCCTGGTGTTGTTGTTGTTGGTGTTGCTGTTGTTGTTGCGGTGTTGTTGTTTGTTTGTGTGTTTGTTTGATTGATTGATTGATTGATTGACTGACTGATTGATTGATTGATTGTTCGTTTTGGTTGTTTTGGTTGTTTGTGTGTCTGTTTGTTTGTTTGTGTGTTTAGTTTTGTCCGGTTTTGTTCGGTTTGGATTGGTTTGGGTTGGTCTGGGTTGGTTTGCTTGTTTGTTTGTGTTTGTTTGTTTGTGCTTTTTTGTTTGTTTGCTGTTGTTTTTGTAGTAGTAGTAGTAGCAGTAGTAGTAGTAGTAGTAGTAGTAGTAGTAGTAGTAGTAGTAGTAGTGGTAGTGGTTGTTGTTGTTGGGGTTGGTGTTGGTGTTGTTGTTGGTGGTGTTGTTGTTGTTGCCGTTGTCGGTGTCGTTGTCGTTGTCGTTGTTGTTGTCGTTGTCGTTGTTGTCGTTGTCGTTGTCGGTGCTGTGGTTGCGGTTGTGGTTGTTGATATGGTTGTGGTTGTTTTTTGGCGGTTGTTGGTTGTGTGTTGTTGGCGGTTGTTGGTTGTTGGTTGTTGGTTGTTTGTTGTTGTTGCGGTTTGTTGTTCTTGTTGGTGTTGCGGTTGTAGGTAGTGGTGGTGGTGGTGCTGTTGTCGTTGTTGTTGCGGTTTTTGTTGCTGCGGTCGTTGTTGTTGGTGGTGGTGGTGGTTTTGATGGTGTTGGTAGTGTCGGTGGTGGTGTCGCTGGTGGTGTTGGTGCTGGTGCTGGTGCTGGTGCCGTTGCTGGCGCCTGTGCTGGTGCTGGTGTCTGCTGGTGTTGGTGATGGTGATGGTGATGGTGTTGGTGTTGGTGTTGGTGTTGTTGGTGGTGTTTGTTTCTTTGTTCGTTCGTTCGCCTGCTTGCTTGCTTGATTGTTTGTTTGTTTGCTGTTGTTGTGATTTGTTTTTGTGTTGTTGTTGTTGTTGTTGTTGTTGTTGTTGTTGTTGTTGTCGCTCTTGCTGTTGGTGTTACTGTTGCTGCTGCTGGCGCTGCGGCGCTGCTGGCGTTGGAGAGGGGGAAATAGTTGCTGTTCTTCTCTAGGCGCTTGCTTCCAGCAAAGGGAGGAACTTGTTTGCAACTACCTTGAGGTTGTTTTTTCTGCTGTCGTGTTTTTTCTGTTTTTGCGCGTTTTCGTGCCAAAGCCCGGCCCCAAACCCCACCCAAGCCGACACCCTGCGGCCAACGCAAACCAACCATAAGCCCACGCTTGACCCCCCAAACCCTCAACCCGCCCCAAACCATTCTAAAAGGCAGCCGAAACCCGCCCGTCGCAAACCCATGCAAACCCCGAGCGTCAAAACACACCAAATCAACCCATTTCAAAGCGCAGCTAGGCCATGCGCTCAGTTACGCACTGTGTATGAATGCTGCTTTCCTGTGTTTTACTTGGGCCTTTGCCGTGCTTTTTGTTTTGTATGCGCGCACCTCCCCCGGCGTCGTGCCAACTTGTGTGGATGTAGCATTTGAGGTGTGACAGCCAGATCCCCAGACAAGGCCAGGGCCGTCAACTCCGACCTCTTGCGCGAGGCTGTTGAGAGCTCTCGAGATCCCACCTGCGTTAGGTACAATCAGAATTGCATTTCTGGAAGGCGCGGCTGTTATCAAAGCATATCAAACCGGAGCAAGCAATTGTGTGCTTGTGTTTTGGCTGGAATCCCTGAAGAATGGTTCCATGTTAGATGAGCAGGCAGGTGTCCCGTTTGAGTGGGAATCCGTTTTACTGTGTTTCGGAAGACTACACTGAGACGTTTGAGATTCGGATTGCAGGGGCCTCGCGCGGCTCCTTTTAGGAAGCTCGCGACGCGCGCTGCTTGATACTAACCATGTTGCGGCAGGTCAAGCATATTGAGTGGCGCATAGCCTGTACGCCGTGCTCTTTGTAATTTGATTCTGGTACCCGCATTTCTTCGCGGACCTGGCCTCAGAAGCTTGTAAAAGTGTCTTACGTTCACTTTTATTGCTTGGTTTTCTTGTGACTTGCTTCCAGCTCATTTGGTTTACTTCGACTTCCATTTGTGTTTGAAGATCCTTTGGTGCCCCCAGCGTCCCATGTCTTGTCCCCGGGGTGACTAGCGCTAGGTGGAAGAGCCCGAGTGGTCAGGCAGCGACACGGACTGCGATGCCCGGCCCTCCATGCAGGTGTGATTTTTCAGGGGAAACCAAAAGAAGAAGTGCCTAGAGAAGCCCGTGATTTCAGCGTGGCAGAGTGCATGCTGGTCTGCGCATATGTTGATCCACAGGACAGGAGTGGTTAAACCCTTCCCATGATTTGGCTTTGGTCTCCTCCGTTCTTTATTTCGGCGGGGAATCGCGGATTCGCCACACGGGTGCCCAGCAGGATCTAAGGGCAACGAACGCTTCTGATAGGAGCCTTAGGTGTTTGTAGAAAGGATTGTCCTCTACACTCCTGGAGCACACCCTTTGAGGGCTCTTGGTCGTGTAGTTGTTCAACTATGTTTAGTGATGTTTAGTTGTTCGTGCTGTTTGGTTATGTTTTTCTATGTTGTTGTGGTAAGCTGTTTGCTTGCTTGGCTGTTTGACTTGGTTGCTTGGTTTGTTGATTGTATGGTTGATGTGTTTTGTGTTGTTACGTTGTTGTTGCGGTTGTGGTTGTTGTTGCTGCTGCTGCTGCTGCTGTTGCTGTTGTTGTTGGTGTTGTTGTTGTTGTTGTTGTTGTTGTTGTTGTTGTTGTTGTTGTTGTCCTTGTCCTTGTCCTTGTCCTTGTCCTTGTCCTTGTCCTTGTCCTTGTCCTTGTCCTTGTCCTTGTCCTTGTCCTTGTCCTTGTCCTTGTCCTTGTCCTTGTCCTTGTCGCGTCGTTGTCGTTGTCGTTGTCGTTGTCGTTGTCGTTGTCGGCGTCGTTGTCGTTCTCGTTGTCGTTGTCGTCGCCGCTGTCGTTGGCGTTGGCATTGCCAAGACAGCTGACCTGCGCCGCTTTGTCGGGGCTCAACGGTTGAGAGGCGTGCTTTTGGAAAGGGCCAAGCATGAAGGGAAGTTTGTCAGGCGAGCAAGAGCCAGAAGCTTCCAAGCTGCAGATTGCGTGTTGTCGGCGGCTAGCAACACACGTTAACTTGAAGCGCTGCAAGGCACCGAAGGAGGCCCTCAAGTGTGTCTGGCCCAGGACAGCTGCGCGACGCTGGCTGCGAGCTGGGTTTCAAGGCAGGTGGCACACTTCTGTTTGTTTAGCCCAAGGTTTCTTTGCGAGCAAGCTGGGCAACGCAGCGTCGCTGCGGCACCGTGCGTGAAAGCTTGCGAATCGCCTTGAGCAGCGCAGACGCCGGGCCACGCTTCAATTTTCAAGGGTGCCAGCGCGCTGGTTCGGGCCGAGAGAACGGCGCTTGCTGCAAACATTTGGCCTGGCTGACAGAGCACGCCCGGCTTTCGAGACTTTGACAAAAAGACGCGGGGCGAGCCTTCCTGAGCCGCTTGTTTGCACACAGCTTTTGCAATGTGTTCTAAGCGGAAGAAGTTGGGCACTGGACCCCATGGCGACGCTCCCCGCAGCGAAAGACGCTGTTGTGCCGCGCCGCTGCCACCGAATCGCCCGAAACCTGCGCGTCTACGCGCTTGTTCTAAATTGCTCTGTCTTCCCGCTTGCTTCCTCCTGGCGAATTACTAAGAGCGATGCTGCTTCCTATTGGCGCTCTCTTCCGTATGGCGGTGCCGCCGCTTGCTGGCTGCCCGTTCCTTTTGGAGAATCGCCTCAACGCCTCTCTTGGACTCTTGGCCCTCTCCGCATCCAAGTTGTAGTTGGGTTTTGTCCCTGTGTCTTGTTCTCATTGTCTCTTGCCCCTACGTTGTCAACTTGCCAAGATAAAGCTGCTCAGTCGTATCTGCTTCGGCGCAGCCGTCGTGTTGGCCGCTCAGGCGAACGTCTGCTACCGCCTTGGCCAGGCCTTGTTCCGAACCACTCGAGCGGACTGGACGCCGCTTCGTTGTTGGTCATGCGCCGGTCTGCGTTACTTGAGCACAACGCTGGGGCAGACAGGCGTGGCTCTGCGACGCTTCAGCTGCCCCACCCCTGGCTCAGACGCCGCGTGATTGAAAGGGCTGTGGCCAGCGCCCGCGTCAGATCTTCAAGTGCGGCGGCGGCATGCTTACAACGCCTCCAAGCGTCAGCTGGACGCGACATTCAGGAGTGAACAGTGTTAGGGCAAGCTGGCGCGCCCTTACGCCAGCTGTCAGATTTGAGGCCTGCCGCACGCCTGCCTTGCGTGTCAACGGGGGGCTGCGTGGAAGCCAACAGCGAGCACGAATGTGCTGTTGTTTTCTGCTTGCAAAATGTTCCTACCTTTCTTCCAATTAGCCATGATTCTCTGGGTCTGCGGGCGCTTTCAAAGCTGCGCGGGGCTTTTCCGCAGGCAGTTGTTTGTTATTTATTAGCGGGCGCTCCAAACCGGACTTTCCAAGTCAAGTGGTTTTACCTTGCCTTTCAACCCTGCGTCCGGGTAAGGCTCTCAATTTCAGGTGGTTGCGACGACCTCGCCTTTTGAACTGCATTTAAGCAAAGCAAGCCGCGCGCCTTTCGGCTTGCAGTTCCGCAAAGCTTCCAATTGGGCAATTCAGTTTGCTGCCTGTACTCAGTCAGCCCTTGAAAACTGCATTGGGGCAAAGGTTTTAGTTTCACCGCCCCATGGCCTGCCTTCAAAACTGCAGTTGGCAACGATGAGTTTTCGGCTTTCTGAATTACTGCGTTCTTGCCTGGAACTGCAGGATTTCAACTTGACTGCGTGGGGACCGAGATTGCAATTTCACATTTGGCTGTTCAGGCGTGCCTTTTAAGACGGCGTTTGAGAAAAGATTTCAACTGGGACTGCCTCTACTTTTCCGTTTGGGCACAGCTTTCAATGCGTCTTCCAATCGGCTGCCTCTACTTCGCCTTTGAAACTGTGCATGAGGGCAGCGCAGACTGACTTTCAACTTGCTTACGCTTACTTCGCCCCTCGAATTGACGTTCGCGTTGGCTACCCGCGCTGCGCCTCAAAACTGCACTTGGGCTACTGAAGCTGGAAGGCTGAAGCTGCAGTTACTGACCAAAGAGAAATAAGAGGGCGAAGCTTTGCTTCCTCACCAAGACAAAGCAAGAAGGAAAGCAAGATTAGCAGCGCAGGTCTGGAGCTCAGGAAAGGCTCTAGTGAAAGAAGCGGTAACGTCATAGCGCAAAGGCGACGAATATGGGAAAGCGTGGGCAAGGCTTACTGTTATTCTTGTTCGCTCAACAGTTACGCTTTTGGCGCAAGAGTAGGGCGGAGGAAGCACATGCTTCGCTAATTCCTGGAGTTCCCGCAAGAAAGTTACACAGTTTGCACAGACAAGGAGAGGTTTGGACTCGAGCCCTGGGTGCCAACTAGACAGTTCTTGGTGCTGCTGGAGCTTCCAGCTCTTGAAGCTTTGCAGACATGCCTTCAGGCCTGTCGCAAGTCGTCGGGCTCAGTTTTGAGTTGGGCTGATTGTTTGGACGCCTGCCTTGCACAACCCGAAAACTCGCTTATCCTCTAACGCTTGGGTCGGGCGGAGGAATCTTTCTATGAACCTAGCGCTCTCAATTAGTCCCAGTGCGCCAGACTGTTGTTTATTGACACATGTTTGCTGGTGCTCTTTGCGAATGCCGGATCCACGTTAATGGCAAAGCAGTATGCGCAAGTCTCCGGCCACAATTTAAGCGTTAGCGCGCCCGCGCGGTTTTGCCTCAACACGCCTGCACGAAGAAAGCCGAGCGGAAGCTTCCCAGAAAACACGTGTTTGGGAATTACACACCCTCGTTGGTTCAGCGCCGGTTCGCGTAGACAGTATTTGTTGGCTCGCAAACAATCACGGGCGTGCAAAGATGACGTGTGCCAAACAGGTCTAAGTCGAACAGTTCGGCGGCTGATTGAAACGTACGGGCCAAAGCCCGTTTGTTTTGGATTTTCCCGGCCTCTCGGGCCTCGCAGTTTGTCTTTTCCCTATGCTTCCAAAACCTATATAAGAATTACATCAGCCTCGACCCCAAACAGCAAAAAAGCATGACAGGTCTGTGTAGCCCAAAAACGGCTTGTCTCCTTCATGCAAGGTGCGAAATTGAGTAGCTCATGTGAGCAACGCATAGCTACAATCAGTCCATGTATTTTTTTGTAGGAAGTCCTCCTTTTTTGGGAAGTGCGCCACAAGATGCAAACCAGTCAGTTACGGCCCGTTACGGCCACTTGGCTGGGCTCTGCTGATGCGCCAGAAGGATGCAAACCTGCACTTGACCAAGAAGCGCGGCGCTGGCTTCCAAAAAGCAGCTCAGTACCCTGAGCAAAGCAAGCAGCCGGATGTCCCAATATATTTGTTTATCGAGAAAACAGACATATTTAAATCTGCAGTTGACCAAGAAGTGCGGCTGGCTTCTAAAAAGCAGCTCAGTTTCCTGAGCAAAGCAATCAGGCGGATGTCGCAGTATTTGTTTATCGAGAACAAAAGTACATATTTAAGGCCTCTGCTGATGCGCCAGAAGGACGCAAACCTGCGCTTGACCAAGAAGTGCGGCGCTGGCTTCCAAAAAGCCTGAGCAAAGCAAGCAGGCAGATGTCACGGTATTTGTTTATCGAGAACAACAGTACATATTTAAGGCTTGGCGGGGCTCTGCTGATGCGCCAGCTTCCAAAAAGCAGCTGCAAAGCAATCAGGCGGATGTCACGGTAATTGTTTATCAAGAACAAAAGTACATATTTAAGGCCTCTGTTGATGCGCCAGAAGGATGCAAACCTGCGCTTGACCAAGAAGTGCGGCACTGGCTTCCACAAAGCAGCTCAGTATCAGCCGGATGTCACGGTGTTTGTTCAGCTGATGCAAACCGGCGCTTGGCCCAGAAGTGCGGCACTGGCTTCCAAAAAGCAGCTCAGTATCAGCCGTATTTGTCTATCGAAACCATTCTACATATTCAAGGCTCGACAGGTCTCTGCTGATGCGCCGCAAGGATGCAAACCTGCGCTTGACCAAGAAGTGCAGCACTGGCTTCCAAAAAGCAATCAGCCGGATGTCACTATATAATTGTTTTTTATCGAGAAGCATAGACATATTAAAGGCTCGACAGGGCCTGCTGGTGCGCCAGAAGGATGCAAACCTGCATTTGACCAAGAAGCGCGGCGCTGGCTTCCAAA